CCAGTGCAGAGAAGAGAGAAATTCCCAGATGTCCGGAGCATTTCTTTTGTTTTTTATTTTTTTGGTTTTTTGAGACAGGGTCTCACTATGTAGTCCAGGCTAGCCTTGAACTTGATATGTAGTCCAGGCTGGCCTCGAACTCATGGCAAACCTCGTGCCTCAGCCTCCTGAATGCTGGGATTACAGGGATGTGTCACCTGCCTGGCCACAGCATTTCTTTATAGCTTCATAGTTACTTTTTCTATCCAAGATCCAATCAAAGCACACAGATTATATATTTTGTTATGTGCCTTTAGTCTGTATTAATCTAGAATAACCCCTTACCTTTTGAAAAGAATGGTATTAACTTTTAAAAAAGAGAGAGCCCAGGCTTGTAGAATGTCCCACATTTTAGATTTGTCTAAATATTCCTCATGATTAAAATCAGGTTAAGTATTTTTGGCAAGAATATGACATAGAAGGTGCCAGGTACATGGTATTGCATCACGTCAGGGCAAACAGTGTCAAGCTGCCTCCTTCTGGGTGATACTGAGTTTGACCCTGTGGCTAAGGAGACTGCTAGGGCTCTTCATTGTAAAGGTACAAGTCCCCCTTTTTAATTAGTCAATAATCTGAGGTGTGATGTTTTAAACCATGTGAATATTCTGTTAACTAATAACTTTTCACTCCATGGCTTTGGCATTTTGCTGATTCTATGCTCACCCAAGTTTGAGAAACAGGGAATTAGGCAGTGATCCTGGGATTTGGCTACCTTTAAATTAAGTTGTATGTTCAAGATACCTTTTGTTTTTGTTTTGTTTTCATTGTGTGTGGGTGTGTGTGTTTGTAAAAATAACCCCCCAGTGATTAGCATTTAAATGGTCTGGGGTAGAACCCAGGTATCAAAATATCTTAAAGCTTCCTCAGTGAGTCTCACATCCTGCCAAGTCTGAGAGCCACTGTGCAAGAGTCACCATAAACTGAATATGAAAATGAAAACCTAGAAAATTTTAAGAAATGAAAATCAATTCACCCCCACTCTTAGTTACCCCTGTCCTCTAATTGCAGGAGGGAATCACCTGGTAGCCCCAGACCTCTGGTGCCCCTTCCACACCCTTTACTATAGGCAAATAGCTTTGTGCAGAGTTCAGAAGAGTTAGGAGAAAGGTCACTTCCCGCAAGAGCAGGGGGGACGTGGGAAAAAACCACACATACAAATACACATGAGTATTGTACAATCAGTTTCATAGAGCAGGAAACCACTGGAAGAGGAAATGACCGCCCTGAGCTCTTGCTGGAGCCAGGACTCTGCCCTGGATGCCTTTCACGAGGCTGAGTTTTATTTCAGACCACGTGGCACCTCTGCACTTCCTGTGCTTCTGCTGCTTGGGTCTGGCCTGGAGCCATGTTGTCAGCATGGAGACAAGAGCCACCTAGCAAGGCTTCTCCCAGGCCTGACACTGGACTAGCCATCCAGTGAAAGAGTGCAGCCAGCCAGCAGCTGCCCACTGGCGGACATTAAGAAGCACTGCATCAAGTTTCTTCTAGAAGGAACTCCTTTCGAGGCTGGAATGAGCTCATTTTTCAGACTCAGGTGCCTCTAGGACTTGTTTCACATCATGGCAGCCCTTATAAATTCACCAAAATTCAATCGTCTATATAATGTAATTGAGTTGACAGAGTTGCAGCTGACTAGTTGATATAAAGTTATATAAATAGTTAATTCTATATTTGTAAAATCAGTGCTTCTGATTTTGTATGCTGGAGCCAACCCATTTCTTTTTTCAGGTCCTCAGACGTTTTCAGGGCCTCTTAGAACACTCAGTAGCCTTGGGCCGTACCATAATGTTTCACCTAATAGGTGGTATCATAAGTGACCTTGAAGTAGAGGGCAGGACTTTCCCATCTGGGGACAGAACAGAGCATTTGAAGGACACCAAATGTGTTGATTTCAAGGATTGGAGTAGAGTTTACCCTTTAAAAAAAACTTTATTGATATACAGTTTACATACCCTAAATTCATCCATTTGAGGTATAGAAGTCCATGGATTTTAATATATTCATGGTTATGTGACCACAATTACCATTAGTCTTAGAATATTCCCTCACTCCCAAAAGAAATAGCCTTTACCAGTCATCCCCTACTTGCTCCCACCAGCACTCTCCCAGCTCTCAATAATCACTAATCTGCTTTCTGTCTCTATAGATTTGCCATTCTGGACATTTCAGACAGAATCATACAGTGTATGGCCTCTTAACTTCCTTCTTGCATTAAGCATTGTGTTTTCAAAGTTCACCCACGTTTTCAAAGCAGCTACGCCATGTTATAGTCCCACCGGTGATGGATGAGAGTTCAAATTTTTCTGTATCCTCACAAGCACTTGTTATTATTGCCATCTTAGTTGGTGTGAAGTGGCATTTTATTGGGGTTTTGATTCACATTGCCCCGGTGCCTAATGATATGGAGTATATTTTCATGTGCCTATCGGCCGACTATGTATCTTATTTGAGGAAATGGCTATTCCCTTGTACATTTTTGAGTTATTTGTCTTTTATTATTGAGTTGTAAGAGTCATGTATTCTAGCTACAAGTCTCTTACCAAATATAAAATTTTCAACTACATCTCCCATTCTGTGGGTTATTGTATTAGTTTGCTGCGGCGTCTGTAACAGATTGGATGGCCTAAACCACAAACTTATTTCTCACAGTTCTGCAGACTGGAAGTCTGAGATGAAGGTTGACAGGTTTGGTATCTCCGGAGGCCTCTCACCTCCCTGGTGTTTCTTCTTCTTAGAAAAACACCAGTAATATTGGATTAGAGAACCATTTTAAGTTTCTCAGCTTAACATTAAAATGTTTAAATATTGGAAGACCTTATGTCCCCAAATGGTCACACTCTGAGATACTGGGTATTGGGAATAAAACATACAGATTTAGAGGAAGCAAAATTCAGTCCTTCTTTTCACTTTCCTGTTGTCTTTGAAGCACAAAAGTTTTAATAATAATAAAATCCAATTTTTTTCTTTGTTGCTCATGTTTAAGCATTGCTTAATCCAAAGTCACAAAGATTTATGCCTAAATAAATCTGAGAGTTTTATCAGTTTAGCTCTAATATCTGAGTCTGATCCATTTTGGATTAATTTTTCTATATGGTGTGAGGTAAGGGTTCATCTGCATTGTTTTGCATATGGATATCCAGTTGTCCCAGCATCATTTATTGAAAAGATTATTCTTTCTCCATTAAATTGCCTTCATATTTTTGCATTAATTTGCCCTGGAACTTTTGTTGAAAATCCATTGGCTGTAAGTGTAAGGATGTAGGTCTGCACTCTCAGTTTTATTTGGTCAATTGATATATTCATCTTCATACCCTTACCACGTTATCATGGTTACTTACTATTGCTTTGTAGTAAGTTTGAAATTAGGAAATGTGAGTCCTCTAACTTCTTCTGAATACATATACTTTACCTTTTGGTATCAAACACTATGGGAGATGCAAATGAACAGCATGACATGGGGATTTGGGACAACTCCTCCCCCTTAAAGACTTCATTTCAGGAACACAGGCTCCCAGTTCTACACATACCTTGGAGAGATGGATTACCATCCTCTCAGCCCACAGCTCTTCATTGTAAATCAATGGAAACATTCTGCAGAGAACAATGGTACCCTTGGGTTATTTTAAACATCACTTTAAGTCTTCCCCACCTGCTCTGCTCTCTAATTGCTCCTATTGAAACAGTGTGTCACAACTGGATTATTAATGAACTGAAAGGGAGCCTGGGCAAGTGAAGGAGGATGTCAGAGGACCTGACTAGGGCCCAAGGGGCCTGGAACAAGCTCAACCCACAGGTTTTTGCACCTCCAAGAAAAGTTAGTGAGTTTCATTAGCAAATAGGAAATCACTAAACTCAGGTAGTACTTTGGCCTCAACAGAATATTGCTTGTAAGGACCCAGAGTTCTTCAAACTAGAATTCTACGAATTGAGTTAACTGTGTACCATCTTCAAATTCCCCAAATTTAAACCTTGTCTTGTCTGCTTCCCCTACCTACCGGCTGCTCTCTGGCCAGTCCTGGGGTTCTAATCCCCGGCCAGGAAAGCTCAGGAAACAAAGCCCTTTGTGGAGAAGAGAACCCTATTGTTCTAAGGTCAGTGCTCAGCGAGTGTGGATTCCGGAGAATGTTTTGGGATTTTTACTCCCCGCCCCGCTTTTGTTTATTAACTTTCTCTCCTCTTCCTGGTGGGAGGAGGGGTTGGTTCTCAACAGCATTTTAAAGATAGTGAAATCTATTGTCGTGTAAAGAAAGGCCTACAGTGCGGGGCCTTCTGCCCCACAAGAGTTAGAATTAGATGACAGAAGCCACCCTGTAGGTTTTGCGTTGTGTTTTTAGCATGAAATCTCAGAGAAGCAGCCAGACCTAGATCCCGCACATCTCAAACCACGGCAGACGTCAGCAGAGGTACGACCACTTCCTTCCTTCTTCTACTTAGCTCCTTTCTTTCCAGAAAGAGGAAATGATGTGACTCCAGGTCGCAGGTTGGGGCCCACATGCCCTATTGTGTGGCTCTCCTCGACTGTGAAATCTAACCTGACCCCAGGGCCAGGCCTGGTCAGGTCTCTGGATGTCCTGGGAAGCTTTCGGATTCAGGCTTCGAGCCCCTTCAAGGTAGGAGACTTGACCTTCTGGCCTTGGCACTATTCCATGTGACCCCGGGGCAGGTTACTGCTCCTCTCTGGGCCTCAGGATGCCCATCTGTCAAATGGGAGCAAGAATACTGTCCTCGGCTTCCCGCTTTCCATGGGGTGGGACAAAGGAAGAGCTCAAAAATAGCTCTTCGAAGCCTGGCTGCAACCCAGCCCCTTTCACTTTCCGGCAGCTCAAGGTAGGGTCCCCACCCCTAGAGCGCTGGGACCCTTGCCACCCTCTCTGGCTCTGTAGCCGGATGGGGTTGTGCGTGCCCACCCCTTTCCTGAGACTCAGGCCCCGCCTTGAGGGAGGAGCCGAGAGCGGCGCTGAGGCTGGCGGCGGAGCTGAGCTGGCTCTGTAGCTGCGCGAGCTGCTGCGGCTTGGGGTCCTACGGACAGAACCAGGGCCGGGAGCCGCCCGGGGCAAAGCTCCGGAGAGCGGTGAGTTCCTCAGCGGCGCCGCCTCCTGCCCTGCCCTCTGCGGCTGGACAGGGTGGGGGACGAGGATCGGGGCGGGGAGATGATGGTTTTAGCCGCTGATAAACTGGCAGGAGGGCGAGGGGCCCTTTGGCGAAGGGCTGGTGGCTTAAGATAATTTGAGGGTGGGTGCTCTGGAGAGGCTGGCATCGAGAGCGCAGGGCTGGGGAGTTGGGCCCGCGTGTGGGCGTTCTCCCGCGTCTCGCTCTCCCTCCGAGAGGCTGGGGTAGGGGGTGCGTCGGCAGGTTGTTGGCTGGGGCTGTCATGGCTCGATCTCAGGCTGGGCGGGGGTCCTTCCCTGGTTCCGGACCCCCGTGGGCCACTGTCTGCCGAGGTCGCAGTGCCGGGCTACCCGAGCCTCAGAGACAAAACACCGCGGCTCCCAGTCTCGCGGCCAGGCATGGGGCGCCGCCCCCTCGCGTGGCGCTGCTTGGTCCCTGCGGGGCGCACAGAGCGCTCTTGCCCGGGCGGGAAAGGTCCTCAGGGCAGGCGCCCCGCACGCAGATCTGACCCGCCGCGGGTCTGACGCCCCCCCCCAACTGACCGTGCCCACCCGCCGGGAGAGACCGCGCGTGGAAGCCCCCGAGAGCCGTGCGCCGGGCGTCTCCCCAGGGCCGCCATGCACGGGCTGCTGGATCCCCAGCGCCGGGAGCGCTCCTCTCCTCGCGAGTCCCGCGCATCCGCTCCGGCAGGGAGGAGCGCCCCCGAGCGCTTAGGATGGGCTGAAACCTTGCAGCTCTCTCCCAAGAGCTCGCGCAGAGGGGTCTCCCCCAAGGTCACCCGGAGTGCCCAGATCGCCCCGGGTACAGAGCAGAGACAGGGACGCTCTCGCTATCCTCGCTCTTTCCTAATGCAGACTCTTCCTCCGCTCTCCCTTCCTGGCCTGGCCTCCGGCTTCACAGGAGATATGGATAACACAGCTACCAGACCGGGAGGATAATTGAGCCTAAGCAAGCTGTGAATCTGGCGGTCTCGGGAGCCCCGCGGCGCGCCCCCGCCACGCGCCAGGCCTGGGACGCGGTGCTCCCTGGCACCGAGGAGCGGAGGGAGAGAGATGCGGCTGCATAAACGCTTCTCAGAATCGAAAGCCGAGCTGCTTGTGCGCCCATGTGATTAGATTCCACATAATGGGCCCCTGTTCTTGCTGTCAGAGGCGCCCACCAGCTCCCCGCGGCCTGGAGCGCCAGGTGCCGCCTCTGAATCGCCCTCTGTGGAGGACCCGGGGCGCCGGGGTACCAGGCTCCCTCTCTCTCGGAGCTCTCACTGGAAGGGTCCTGCAGTTAGCGGCAGGGCCCGCGAGAGGGTCCTCTCTGAGTGCCCTGCCGTTTCCTGCGGCTGATGAAGCCCCGGGAAACCCCCTTCCAGACTGCTAACAAAGCTTCTCCACTGAGCCAGGGTCTGGCTGTGTGTTGTGGGCCAGGCGCTCGTCCTCCCGAGCCTCAGCTGTCTCTAAGATAGCGGGCGAGGCAGGCTGTGGGGTGATGAGTGAGGGGCCGCATGAAAAGCCAGGTGCCGGAGAGCATGGGAGGGTGAGCGGGGTGCGTCTCTTAGGTGCCGGAATGGAGCCCTGGTGGGCGGTTCTGCGGGGCTGGGGGAGTTTCAACATCTTCCTCTCTCACTCTGCCACAAAGCGCCAGCTTGCAGGAGGCGGCGAGGGGCAGTGAGTCCTTCCAGCGTGCTGCCTGCACACAGGCCCCCCCACCTGTCACCCAGATCCCGTGTTCTCTACCCCGGTCCCTAGGATACCGCAGGCAAGGTGTCAGCCAGGTCACTGGGACGGTCAAGCCTGTGCTTTCCTGTCCACTCCTGTCTACCCAACAGTGCCCCCTCCAGCTTCCTGATTCCAGCTCTTCCCAGCCTGTGGAATGTCCTTTAGGAAGCCCACCTGATCCTTCCTTCCTCTCTTTTGGTTCCCTTCTGCTGTGACATTCGTTTGTGCCTCTGGGGGTTCAGGTGCCAGAGCCCCATGCTTCCTGTTGCTTCCCTGGCCTGGAAGTACACAGTAGGCGAGGCGCATGCCTGGTGCCCACTCAGACTTTGTTCTCTCTGCTAATTGAGCCAGAGTAGAGGTTAAATTCTAATCTGGCTGTTAAGTGTTTAGAAGCTGAAGGCAAGGAGATGGTTTTTCCTATGACTAGAACCTTTCTGCAGAGTTCACTTGCCTCTTTGGAAGCTTAGCCACTGCTCTTATCTAAATCAGCGCAGGGCCAGAGCGAACACTGTCTGACCAGCAGAGGCTGTAGCCAGTCTGCTTTAGTGGATTTAGAGCCACTGACCTGGGTTCAACTGCTGGGCTTGAACTCTCACCCTGTCCTCTCTCCCATCCTAGCCATCCCAACTGCCCACCTCCAGGACACCCGTGGTATGTGCTGGATAGTGGGTCTCAACTGAGATCCTCCCGGCCAAGACTGGGATACCTCTCTTTGTCCCAGCATACCTTAGAGTTGATAAGCCTGCCCCTCACAGAAAGCTGCAAATATGAAGAGCAAGGGAGGAAGCCAGGCCTAGCTGAAATTACAGCTCTAAATCTAAATGCTCTGGAACCCTATGTGGTGCTGTTATTCTCTGGAGGCCCAGTTTTCCCATCTGTAAAATGGGAACCATGGTAATGCTTGCTTCCTGGGGTTATGAGGGTTGTGTGAGACCACAACAAGGAGGACATGTTTAGTAGAGCACCTGGTGCAGCGGGGAATGCAGGAAGTGCTTGTTGTCACTATCACGGTCATTTCCTCCTTTGTGTTGGGCTGTTAAAGGTCCCACCTCCTCCGGTTCAAGGGGCTTGGACTGCATCTCTTCAGCCTCCCGCTATCCAGACAGGGGAAACCTGTCCATGCCTCCTGGAGACAGGGGCTCTTCTGAGAATTTGAGTCTAGCATGATCCCATCCCCAGGGAGTCTGTGAGCATCCGCTTAACCTTTCTCAGCTGGCTGCCATTTTGCAGGGCTCATTGATTTCTTCGGTGTAGACCTTCTGTCCATTGCAGACTTTCTGTTGAGCAAGAGGTTTCCAAATGACTAAGGTAGCAGTAAGGGGGCCTGGAGACAGAGAGTGAGGACCCATGGGATCAAGACTTCCATAGCAAGCAAGAGTGGGGAGTTGGGAGCATGGGAGCACAGGTTCATCCAGGTGTGGCTCTTCAGGCTGCCACCTTGTCCCTGGGTGGGGACGACTTCTTATCTCTCATGTGCAAAGGCTACCAACACAGGGTGGTGGGTGAGGAGAACAGAGACTCTGTGGGCAAAAACTGATCTCAGGGCCTATTAGAGATGAATAAGTGTTGCGGATGTTAGTGGCTGTTATTATTAGTCTAGTATTACCAATAACCCGTGGGCAAAGTTTGCTGTGGGGGCGCCCTGGAGCTCTTCAGCGACAGTTTCCGAGGTGGTAGCTGATGGAGGGGTGGGCAGCCCTTGAAGAGATGGGTGCATATGGAAAGCACATAGGCTTGAAAGCGCTCCGTATCTGGAGAGCCAGGGTAGGAGTCAGAGCTGGAGCCAGCAGTGTGATGGAGGTAGGAACAAGGCTGGGGAGGGGGCAGAGGCCATCCTGCCAGTGCCCTGAGAGATCAGATGCTCACTGACCCAAAACAGATACCCTCTGGCCTCATGCAGTGGCGGCTTTCTGGAGAAAGCTGTCTGCTTGCTGCACCCCATAGAGTTCAGGGTCATTGCCAGGGAGGAAAGGCTGGCCTGTGCTCATCTGCCCGAGTGCTCTCCATTTCTCCCTCTGTGCTCCAGCTTTCTGAGATGTGTCTCCCGCCTCTGCACCTGCTTCTGTCTTTCTGGGACTCAGTTGTCACTTGAAGGAGGAGGGTACGAGCAAAATAAGTGGACTGAGCTGACTTTCTTGTTGGTCAAAATATTGTGCGTGCCACGTGCCTCTCTGGATGCTGATCACTGCTCATGGTCTTTACTGCATCATTATTGAGTCCTGGTCCCAGTCCAGTGAAGTGGATGCACTTTCCTCCATTGTGCAGATTGGGAAACTGAGGCACAGAGGGGGAGACAGTTTGCTAAAGGCAATGCTGCACGTATGTGACTCATATCTGGGGAGTCTCCAAAGTTGCCATATCTGCCCTGCACCCCTCCTTCATGCTCTCTGTAAATAGCTAAAGCTGACTGCAAATGTCTGGCTTCTCTCACTCTGGACCCTTGAGTGCTGGGTAGTAGGTACCTCGGAGATGGATCAAGTGGGGTGTGCTGTGGGTACCTGTCCTGATTTGGGGGAAGTGCCTGTGTGGGAGGAGGTGTTCTCAGATCTCTTCCAATCCAGATTGGCATTCCTCAGCCCACTGATGTCCCACAAATGTGCCTTTGATGCAGGCAGTTTGTAGCTTGATTGATGTGGCAGGTGGTGGCCAGGCCCTATGGTGGCCCCAAGGAGGAATGGATCTTACAGGATGACTGCTCGGAGCATCATACGATGACAGACCCTTTCTGTCCCAGAAGTATCCAAACAGAGGCTCAAATTTCCTTTTTCATGAGGGTAAACTTTAGGGCCAGGATTCAAATCCTGGCTCTGCTTTGCACTAGCTCTTGGGCCTTGGACAGTGTTTTCATTTCCTTGAGCTTCAATCTCTTCATGTGCAAATATAGACAATATATGCTATTATGTAACACACACATAAGTAGTCAGAGTTGCTGTAAGGATGTGTAATCCTATGTAAAAAGCCTGGCTTCCAAATTGTAGATAATAGTGATATAGAGTCCATCAAATTTCCCCCCATGATACTTAATAATAACTGTGATTATAGGGCTATATCATATGGTAATCTGTTATTCTTTCAGTCTCATCTACTAGACCAGGGCTTGTCAACCCAAAGTCACAACCCAGGGGGGAGAGGAGAGGAGGAGATCCAGGATGCTGCTAAATAGTCTATAGCACACAGCACAGTCCTCCACAATGAAAAAAGTGATCTGATCCAAGTGTCAATTATGCCAAGGTTGCAAATGGCTATACTGCAC